AATGTTGGTTCTTTTGTTGTGTTTGTTCAGGGTTTTGTGAGTTTTTGTTTGGTAGGGTTTTCTTCTGTTTAGTGATAGGTTCTTGTAACTGAAGTTTCACTGGAAAAAATGACTGGGAAAAACTGTACCAGTCTTGATGGTACATTTCATGTGTGGTCTTCTGCAGGTTCTCTTGCTTTTTCGCTTGGGTCTCAGTTCTGTTACCTGTGAACTTGTGCCTAAGTCATAGGTTTCCACCGAGATTCAGGGTAGGGGTTGGATATGCAGCACAATTTGTAGAATGCTTACCTGGCATGGGGTTCCATCCTCCACACTGTGGAAAACAGGCATCATACCCTGTGCTTCTCATCCCAGCATTCTGGAGGTGGAGGATCAAAAGTTAAGATTTTCCTTGGCTACACAGTAAGTTCCAGGCTAGCCTAGACTGCATGAGATGAGACTGTCTTAAAGGGGGAAAAAAGGAGGTGGGGCAGAGATTAAATGTGGTTGCAGATCATTGGTAGAGTGCTTGCTGAACATGTATAAGGCCCCATGTCTAAGTCCTTACACTACACACACACACACACACACACACACACACACACACACACACACACACGGTTAAATAAGATAATACATAAATGTATAGAAATACTTTAGCCGTGACTGAGGGTGAGCTGTCCAACAGCAACAGGCACCATAATTATCAGTCACGACTGTTGCACTATCAGAGATTTAGGGTCTTGTGCTAGGGAAGAAGCCCAGGCCCTGTGAATGTTGGACAAGCTGGACAAGTGATTTAACACACCCTGTACCCAAAGCCTCCAGGTTTTTGTTGTTGTTGTTGTTTGTTTTGTTTTTTGAGACTGGGTTTCTCACTGTAGCTCTGGCTGTCCTTGAACTGACTATGTAGACCAGGCCAACCTCGAACTCATGAAGATCTGACTGCCTCTGCCTCCTGAGTGCTGGAATGAAAGGTGTGTGTCACCACCCCCAACCTTAGGAGAGACTTTTTTATTTACTAAAATCAATTACATCATTTTCCCCTTCCCTTTCTTCCCTCTAGTCCTTCCTGTGTACCCCCAAAATCTGTTCCCTCTCGAAATCATGGCCTCTTTTTCTCTAATTGTTATTGCTACATAATATTATGTATGTATACATAAATCTATAACTACAACCTGCTCAGTCCATTTACTGTTCCTTGTATGTATATGACTCAGGGCCCACCCCTTGGTGTTGGATAGCCAATTAGGGACTCATCCCTGGGGAGGACTGTTACTCTCACTCCACGCCTAAGCAGAAGGGAGTCCTCATTCCTACATGGACTGAATTAATGGGGACCCAATGCTCACTGTACCTCAGGAGCCATTCTAAGCATTTGATGTTCAAAAACTCATTTAGTCCTCCTAGCAATTCCTTGGGGTGTTAGCTTAAAGATCTTAGTAATCCCTACATCTTAGTGGAGGAATTTATGGTTATAGACATTACATCACTTTGTAAATAATGATCATAAATTAATAATCAACAAAATAAGATGTGGTGGTGCAAGCCTTTAATCCCATCACCTGGGAGGTAGAAGCAGAATCAAAAGTTCATAGTCATCTCCCCCTCTGCTATACGGAGAAGGGAGCAGGAAGCAGGCCTCTACTATATGTGATCCTGTCACGAATGAATGATTTACTTTCAAATATTTCTCTCATTTTTGAGATTATATCATTTCTCCCTTCCCTCCCTCCAAAATTCCCCATATACCCCTCCTTGTTCCCTTGTAAATTCATGGCCTCCCTCTTTTTCCTTAATTTTCATTACATTGTGTGTGTGCATACACCAAATACACAAATACAACTTTCTCAGTCTATATAATGTTACTTGTACGTATGCTTTCAAGGCTCACCATTTGGTATTAGATAACCAATTGGCGGGCTCTTCCTGGGGAGGACTATTTCTCCCTCTCTCAGCATTCCTCAGTTGCCTGTAGATCTTTTTCGTGTAGCATCGAAGCCTTATACCCGCTTCAGCATGCCTGTTGTTATTGCCCTTGTTCAGTTATGTTTAGACAGCTGTGCTGTGAGGCTCTATGGGTATATCTCTGACATTCCTACAAGACACCGTCTCACAGAAAACTTCCTGATTCCCGGGCTTATATAACCTTTCTTTTCCTCCCCTGAGCCTTAGGTGTAGGAGTTATACTACATTGATTTCTTTTAAGATTTACTTATTTTTATTTTATGAATATGAATGTTTTCCTGCATGCATGTCCATGCACCACTTGTGTGCAGTGCCCACAGAGACCAGAAGAGGGTGTAGGGTTCTCAGGAACTGGAGTTACAGACATTTGCAAGCCCCCATGTCTGGGAACTGAAGCTGGGTCCTCTGGAGGAGCAGTAAGCACTCCTAACTGCTGAGCATCTCTCCGGCGCCTAAGGGTGATTTTTGTTTTGTTTTTCAAGACAGGGTTTCTCTGTATTGCTTTGGAGGTTGTTCTGGAACTAGCTCTTATAGACCAGGCTGATCTTGAACTCACAGAGATCCGCCTGCCTCTGCCTCCCGATTGCTGGGATTAAAGGTGTGCGCCACCAACTCCTGGCTGTCCAAGGAGTAATATCACCTATTCGGTAAACGGTGAAGCATGGATTCAAACCCAGAGAGGTTTTGCCTGCTGTCCTGGCACTTGGGGAGGAAGACAGTAGGAAGTGGAGGCCAAAGTCATCCTTGATTACATAGAAATTTTGAGAACCTGTCTGAAACGACAAAACAAAACATGGCAATACCAACACCTTCTTGTTTGTACCGTCTCCCCCAGCCTTTTAGCTAACATGGTGTAGTATTAAATGCACGTGGCCTAGCTTTGGAGTCTAGGTTCTTTAACTGTGGTGTCACACATGCTCCCTCAAGTGTAAAGTGTCTCAGACACATGTGCACCCACTGACAGTCGCAGGCCTTATTGCTCATGTTGTCACATACTGATCTCCTTCCCCAAGCTGAGAGCTCTGTCACAATGACAGTTCACCAAGCGCCATGGAGAGGACTTCAGCTTCACACACTCCAGGTCATATATGCTCAAAGGCACAACACATTAGTCTCTCTGTCACAGACCAAGTCCCCAAGCGATACCAGGACTTGGAAGGCTTTTGCTCAACATTTTCCCCTTAGGGTCTTCCAAACAGTATAATCCTAAAGGCTACAGCTTTGCACTAGGAAGACCCTAAATTTCTTCAGTGGACAGATGGGGAGAAGAAAAAAGGGCCCACCAAATGCACAGCAGCTAGGCTGTCACTGAGTGGGACCCTCAGTCTTCCATCTGCCCGTGCTTTGGCTGTGGCCGCCCCTGCCTCCTGGCCTTTCGTTTTACACAGCCTTAGTGCCTGGGCCACACTCCAGATCCCAGAGAAGTCTGAGGGATCTTCTCGTTCCCCCATGCTGCCCTCTTCTCATCTGGGGCCCAGGAACAGATCAAAGAGGGAGGGGAGCCTCCCACATCCCATCTGTGGCCAGAGCTGAGGCCATCATCCCTGTTGCCTGCTTCTCGTACAATCCATGGAAGAATGTGTAGGCATAAACACACATATGTGCTTTTGGGGTTTGGTTGTTGTTGTTTGTTTGTTGTTTGTTTGTTTCTTTGTTTTTCAAGACAGGGTTTCTCTATGACTTTGGAGGCTGTCCTGGAACTAGCTCTTGTAGACCAGGCTGGCCTCGAACTCACAGAGCTCCGCCTGCCTCTGCCTCCCAAGCGCTACCACCGCCTGGCATACACACACACATGTTTTCAGTGTATTCCACTCCAGAGTCTCCTGTAGCTCAGGTATGTCCTCAGACTCCCTTTGTAGCAGGGGATGACTTTAAACTACTAATCCTTCTGCTTCTGCTTCCCAAGTGCAGGGATTACAGGAGTGTGCCACCACTCCCAACCCTCTGCTTTCCCTGGAGCCTTTGCCTCCTCTTTTTTTTCTTTGTTTGTTTTGTTGGTTTTTTTTTTTTTTTTGGTTTTTTTTATTTGTTTTTCGAGACAGGGTTTCTCTGTGACTTTGGAATCTGTCCTGGAACTCCTTTTGTAGACCAGGTTGGCCTCGAACTCACAGAGATCCGCCTGCCTCTGCCTCCCGAGTGCTGGGATTAAAGGCGTGCGCCACCAACGCCCGGCTCCATAACTCTTTATTTAATGAAAGAATCACACTGGAGCAGCCCGTGCCCAGCAAATGGAGGAACCGGGCTATGATCCACTCCGCATCTCATCACTAATGCCAAGGCTGAAGCCACTCAGTCACCATTGCTCCAGCAAGAAAGGGATGACAGGGCCTTCCTGCTAAGGATGAGCAGGACAGTTAAATTAGATAACTTGATTAGATGCTTAGCACCGTGTCTGGCATGTAGCAAGCCCTTCTTAAATGAAGACTTTAATAAGGTTGAGAGAGGTACTTGGAAAATTTCGCAGGACTGTATACAAAGTAACTCTTCCAGTTTGGCTGCATGAAATTTAGGGGAAACAGGATTTAGGGGTTGGAGAGAAGGCTTGGCAGTTAAGAGCACTGGCTGCTCCTCCAGGGGATCAGGGTTAATTCTCAGCACCCACAAGGCAGCTCACAATGCCTGTAATTCCAGTTCCAGGGGATCTAATGCCCCTCTTCTAGCCTCCTCGGGCACTGCTTACACATGGTATACAGACATACAAGCAGACAGAATACTCATACACATTAAATAAAAATAAATGAATATGTTTAAATATCTTTTTGAAGACAGAATTAGTAGCAATTTCCTAAATTGAAAATCGAGGTTCGAAGTCTGAATGGTGCTGCTGGAGAGAGGACTCAGATCTCTAGCTTTCAAGGCCACCCATGCTGCTGCCCAATCTCCTTGAGGCTGGAAAGCATTTGTTAGCCTTTGTGTGTAGATGCTGGTGCCTAAAGGTGGTGCTGTCTGGCCGAGAGCTCTGAGAGAGCAGAGGCTGTATCCTTTTACTCCTCCACTCAGAATTGCCAGAGGTGCCCAGTGGCCCGGCCAAAGCTCCTGTCCTCTCTTTTCAGGTGATGCCCTTTCTCTGAGGAAAACCTGTGACTGGAGGAAGGGGCTGCTCCTTCATCTCACCTGGCTGAAATGAACACCTCAACGCCCCCTGCTGTCAGCCCCAATATCACCGTCTTGGCACCAGGAAAGGGTCCCTGGCAAGTGGCCTTCATTGGGATCACCACAGGTCTCCTGTCTCTGGCTACAGTGACAGGCAACCTGCTGGTACTCATCTCCTTCAAGGTCAACACAGAGCTCAAGACAGTCAACAACTACTTCCTGCTGAGCTTGGCCTGTGCTGATCTCATCATTGGCACTTTCTCCATGAACCTCTATACCACATACCTGCTCATGGGCCACTGGGCCCTGGGCACACTGGCCTGTGACCTCTGGCTGGCCCTGGACTATGTGGCCAGCAATGCCTCTGTCATGAATCTTCTGCTCATCAGCTTTGACCGGTACTTCTCGGTGACCCGACCCCTGAGCTACCGAGCCAAGCGCACTCCCCGCAGGGCAGCTCTGATGATTGGCCTGGCGTGGTTGGTTTCCTTCGTCCTCTGGGCCCCAGCCATCCTTTTCTGGCAATACCTTGTTGGGGAGCGGACGGTGCAGGCTGGGCAGTGCTATATCCAGTTCCTCTCCCAGCCCATCATCACTTTTGGCACAGCCATGGCCGCCTTCTACCTCCCTGTCACCGTCATGTGTACGCTGTACTGGCGCATCTACCGGGAGACAGAAAACCGAGCCCGGGAGCTGGCAGCCCTACAGGGCTCTGAGACACCAGGCAAAGGTGGTGGCAGCAGCAGCAGCTCAGAGAGGTCACAGCCAGGGGCTGAGGGCTCACCCGAGTCACCTCCCGGCCGCTGCTGTCGCTGCTGCCGGACACCCAGGCTTCTGCAGGCCTACAGCTGGAAAGAGGAAGAGGAAGAGGACGAAGGCTCCATGGAGTCCCTCACATCCTCCGAGGGCGAGGAACCCGGCTCAGAAGTGGTGATCAAGATGCCCATGGTAGACCCTGAGGCACAGGCACCCACCAAGCAGCCCCCCAAGAGCTCCCCAAATACAGTCAAGAGGCCCACCAAGAAAGGCCGAGACCGAGGTGGCAAGAGCCAAAAACCCCGAGGAAAGGAACAACTGGCCAAGCGAAAGACCTTCTCACTGGTCAAGGAGAAGAAGGCGGCTCGGACCCTGAGTGCCATCCTGCTGGCCTTCATCCTCACCTGGACGCCATATAACATTATGGTGCTGGTGTCTACCTTCTGCAAGAACTGTGTTCCCGAGACCCTATGGGAGCTGGGCTACTGGCTGTGCTACGTCAACAGCACTATCAACCCCATGTGCTATGCACTCTGCAACAAAGCCTTCCGGGACACCTTCCGCCTGCTGTTGCTCTGCCGCTGGGACAAACGGCGCTGGCGCAAGATCCCCAAGCGCCCTGGTTCTGTGCACCGCACCCCCTCCCGCCAGTGCTAACAGCCTCCCTCTCCTGCATCCTTCCTCCCCAGCCCCAGGGAGAGGCCGGTGTTCACGAGCTGTATCTTCAGCCTCAGGGCCCTGCTTAGACCTCCCCTGGCTTCCCAGGCCCCTGGGTCACCTTCCTGGACAGAGCAGAGAGACTGCTAGCTTTCCAAACTTTGCTATTCCCAGACAGGGAGTGAAACCCGGGGAACTGGTTTTTCTGTTCCCTGCTGTGTGGGAATAGGCTATTCACCAGGAAGAAGGCCCAGGAGGAGGAGGATCCGGGCTTTGGACTCTGTTTGCGTTTAGGCAGGAAATTAGGAGCCAGCAGGGCCTGCCAGTAATTTTAACGGTGCAGTCTTCCTTGGCCCTGCAGGGGGCCCAAATTGCAATGGGAGATAACGACCCCCTGGGTCTAAGGTGGGAGCTGACACCAGGTTTGGGACAGAGAGCTGGTAACCCCTGGCTGGAGATCCCCCTCCCTGCACAGGCATAGCCCATCCAGGTAGGCCCTAGGCACACTCTCTGGGATTCTCCAACTTCCCTACAAATGTCCCCAGGCCACCCACCCCTATGTGAGTCACATCCAAGGCAAATGTCCAGGTGTGAGCAGGACAGTGATACCAGAGGAGATCAGCTTGACTGAACACACCAAGTCCTGAAGCTGGAGCAGGACCAGATGTCAGGTGTCCTAAATGACCCATTATGCCACTTTCTGGGTTGGGGGAGGGGGGACAAGGTGCCTGATATCCAGTCCCAAACCCATCCTCTCTCCTTGCCCCAAAGTAACCTCGGTCCCTCCCTCCCGGCTCACAGCCATCACCTGGGTGGATCTGCTCTGGGCGGATCTAGCCAGGCCTCCCGCATGCTGCCTGCCTCCAGCCTTGCCCTACACAGGCCTGGCCCAGCCAGCAGGTTCTCTTCTGTAAACTCCCTAGTCCAACCCATGCATGGCCTCCCTGCCACCCTAATCTCCAGGCCCTGCCTGGCCCCAGATGTCCTCTCCTTCCATCCTCAGCATATGCTGAGTCTGTGAATAAAAGCCACGAAACCAGAGGGCACTACGAGGAATTCCTCCCTGTTTTGGCTCAAGGCCCTGGCCCCAAGGCCAGGATGGGACAGGGAAGGCACAAGTACTGCATGCAGGATGTGGGCTGCAGCATTTAAGGTGGATCCAGGAAGGACGGCACGGAAGGGCTAAATCAACCAAAGCCTGTGGGTCCAGCACCCTGGGGGACCGTGGCTCAGGTGAGTGGTGCTAAAGTCAGCAGGCCTGTTCTCTGGAAATGAGGTGGCTAGGTGAAATGCCCCTATGTATTCTGTATATAGCTGCTCTAGAACCTTAGCATACCCAGAGAAAACAGAATTCCTCCAAACTCCATTGTAGACAGGGAAACTAAGGCCCAAAGACCCAGGAGGATTACTTAGGACTATCTCACGAAGAAACACCCAGACTTCCAGGTAGTCCACAGCCTCCTGACCCCTAGACTGTGGAGATGACAGACCTAGGATATTCTAGACCAAAGTAGTCCATCAGGGTAACCCTCAGGCCACAATATTGGTAAGTGTGGTTCCCAAAGTCTAATGAAAAGGAACCTGAAGAGATTAACCCCACAGCCTGAGCAGCTAGGAATCCCAAGACCAACCTTAATGTCGGTGATTTGCTAGTAAAACATACAGAACTCTACAAAGTCGCTAGAGTCACTGTCACAACGAAAGAATTCAGATGCCAATGGAACAGGAGAAAGTGTACAGAGCAGAGTCCCAGAGTAACCAGGCACAAGATGCCAATTCTCTTTTCAGGGAGTCACAGAGTGCTTAATTCGCCAGTAGTGATGTATGGCAGCCTCTACAGCATTCTGCCAGCCAGAAAAAGCACCAGAACCTTGGTGCCTGGTGACTTTACTAGAGGCTGGGCATAGGGGCATGGCTCACTGTCCACATGGCTGGCCTCGGTTAGTGCCCAGCCCATCTAGAGGTTTAACTGTTAGAGTGTGGTCCAAGACCTCGACCGCAAATCATATTTTCAAAACAGATTATCTGGTGTGGTCCAGGGTACACAGATGAGCAAAGATTTTCTTTTAGGTTGGATAGTCCAATGGTTTGCCATGATTCCCAGGAGCCAAACAAGGCCTGCTGAGCTAACAGTGACCCAGACCTGGAGCACCGCTGTCACCTGGGAACTTACATAGGTAAATTCTTGGGGTCACCATGGATTTACTAAAATGGGAATTCTGAGGATGGAAATCAGCTGTCTGTAACCCGCAGCCTCAAAGTGATTCTGGTACAGGCTAAAGTTTGAGGGGGGGAAACTATTCTAGAGGGCTGAGCTCCTAGGTGGGATTAAAAAAAAAATTCTGCAGAGGAAGGAGTGGGGATTCACCCCACACTGTTCACTGCCTGAATTGAATTCCCAAAAACTTTTGGACCTTGAGAGCTAGTCTGGAGGTTCTAGCTGACGAATGTATCTCCTGGTATACCCTGGGCCCAAAAAGGTCCCTGCTCTATCTAGGAAGATCTTTCCTCTTCAGCTAAGCCTGCAGCTTTGGATGGGATGGACTTGGAGGGGTAAGAGAAGAAGAAGAAGATGTCTGCCTAGCCGGCCACTAGTAATCAGTGGGGTGACAAATGTCTCAGTCAATCACACTCACATCACTCATAACCTTTGGAACAGAATCTTCCAACACTGTGGGCAACGGTAGCCCATTAAAAGGTAGATAAGGAGAAGCTTGCCAGAAGCTTCAGGAGATACAGCAGTGTGGGAATGACCCCCAGCTATAAACCCTGTACCCTGTACCATCAGCACAGTGCCTCCACAAGCTGTCAGATGAGACCCTGTGAAGGTATCTTGCCACTACTCCCTTGTAGCCCTAAGTTCCCTTCAGGGACAATGTCCTGCCTGTGTCAAAGGCTTGGAGGTGGAGGGACTGGGTGAGCAGTGGGAGAAAGAAGCCGTGGAGTGAGTGGAACTTGCCTCTACTTAAGACAAGGGACCTGGGAGCGGGACTAGCATCACGATCAGTAATAGGAATAGCAACTTACACTTGTCACTTGTTTCCTGTCCTGGGGACCTCACCATAGTCCTGCCTTGCCCCCCACAAAATAACTTTAGGTATGCCTCCTGTCTTCATCCAAAACGGGGAGCAATGCCTTTGCAGGTGTCAGAGGGATGAGGCAAACGGGTTAAGAGAACCTAGTGGCTGTACCGTCAGTGTCATCACAGAAGAGGCTGCCACAGTTAAAAGCTGAACTAGGTCCAGTTTCTCCCCCAAGCCAAGAAGAAGAAATCTCACATCCTGACATGACTGGGTTCGAAGCGTGTCCAGGAGCACATGGACAGGAAGGGGTGTAAACTCCAGGTGAAATCTGGGTCCTGCAGATGGCTGAAGAAAGAGTTCTGCAAACCAAGGAGCATATGAACCTGAAGGGAGAAGGTGATTGCATGGGCATTCATCCATCCCAAACACGGCACCACTCCTGCCCTGAGGGAGTCAGTGTTTTCACCCCAGGAACAAAGACCTCTTCGTAAGGGGAGAATAAGGTCGCTTTGTGAATGCCACCTCTACTGGAGCCTGCCTAAAGAAGTGGAACAGGTTAGGATCCTCCTACCCTCGAAGCCCCACCCATCCCCATTTCCACCGTGCCGCTTTGCCACCACCTGCTGGCAATGAAGGAAATAGGCTTCCCAAGAAACCTGATATTTGTCTTGGACCAGGTTCCCCAGACAATGGACCATAACATAAAATGATACAGTAGTGATCTTGGTCACCCCAGAAACTACCCCCAAACTTCAGGAGAACCCAAAGCTATAGAAGTCTCACCAGGCCCTATAAACATTCAGAAACAGGCCCTTCACTCTCTGACTAGTGAGGCCATGGATGTGAGGTGTCCTGAAATTTGGGGATAGCTCCATCCAAGTCTCAAAAACAAACAAACGAAAGCAAGCCCCTGGTCTGGAGGCTTCATAGTCTTCCTTTTGGGTGACCTATCCTTGCAGAGTCTCCCAAGGCCTGTAGAGTCATCCTTGGTTTCATTCTCAGTCTAGCTCAGGTTTCACAGGACTCAGAGCTGACTCCAAATTGAAATTGTATTTGGAACTTGCAGAGCAAGAGTGTTGTTTGGGCTGGGGGAGGGGTGGCACACGCCTTTAATCCCAGCACTCAGGAGGCAGAGGCAGGCGGATCTCTGTGAGTTTGAGACCAGCCTGGTCTACAGATCGAGTTAGTTTCAGGACAGCCTCCAAAGCTACACAGAGAAACCCTGTCTGCAAAGGAGAGAGAGAGACAGACAGACACACACACAGACAGAGACAGAGACACAGAGAGAGAGAGTTCTTTCACCAGTTGCCCTGCCAGCCTTGGGCTCTAAAGGACTAGATGGTATTGCCTCTGAGACCTTTGCTTCCACGACAAACCAGGGAAGCTCAACAGTCTGACTATCCCATTAAAAAGTCCAACTCTCCCTTTCCCTGCCCAGCTCTTGTCCTCCTGCCCCTGGTATTTGGTATCTCTGCCTTCCTGGAACCGCCGTTCACACGGTTGCTCAAGCCAGAGACCTGGAAGTCAGCCTAGACTCCTCTGTACTCCCTGTGCCCAGTCTACCTCTAAACAGTTCTCAAATTAATCCTGTTTTCTCCATCGCACTGCAGGGCTCTTGCATAAAGTGCTAAAACAATCCCTCAATTCAGAAGTATCAAACTTGCTCTGTGAAAGGCCAGAGAGCAGACATTTTTTGACTCTACAAGCCAAGAGACAAAAATGAAGGATACACACCACCACTAGTATATTACATAGTCTCTCCCACTGCAGTTGGAGGTAACCATAAATAATATACTAGAGCAAATAAGAATGGCTATATACCAATAAAACTTTATCTGAATCTAACATAATTTTCACGTGTCACAAAAAAAATTGCTCCTTTTATGGTTTTCAGATTTTATTTTTAAGATTTATTTATTTGTTTTATGTGCATGAATATTTAACTGAATGTATGCATATGTATGTGTGTATCACCTTGGAGCCTGGTGCCCATGGAAGTCAGAAGACAGCTAATGGATTACCCTGGAACTGGAGTATGAATGGTTGTTAGCCACTACTATAAGCCTCTGACTCTCTTTCCAAGCCCAGCACTCTTTTTTATGTCTTTTAAAAATGAGGGACTGAAGCCAGGTGTTGATGGCACATGCCTTTAATCCCAGCACTCAGGGAGGCATAGGCAGGCGGATCTCTGTGAGTTCGAGGCCAGCCTGGTCTACAGAGCGAGTTCCAGGACAGCCTCCAAAGCCACAGAGAAACCCTGTCTCGAAAAACCAAAAAAAAAAAAAAATGAGGGGCTGAGCCGGGTGGTGATGGTACACACTTTTAATCCCAGTACTCGGGAGGCAGAGGCAGGTGGATCTCTGTGAGTTCAAGGCCAGCCTGGTCTACAGAGTGAGTTCCAGGACAGGCTCCAAAACAACACAGAAAAAAAAAACTGGTCTCAAAATAAAAGAAAAAAGGCTGAAGAGATGACTCAGTGGTTAAAAGCATTTGGTGCTCTTGCAGAGGACCCAGGTTCAATTCCCAACACCCACATGGTGCTCACAGCCATCCATAACAGTAGCTCCAATGGATCTGATTCCTTCTTCTGACCTCCAGGGGCACCAAGCACAAAGATGGTACACACACACATATGTATACATGCAGGCAAAACTCATCCAAATCAAATAAAAAATAAATACATCTTTAAAAATACATCTTGTGTGCTAGGATAATCCCAGCATTCAAGAGGTGGAGAAGCAGGAGGACCAGGAGTTTAAAGCCAACTTGACCTATATAAGACCCTGTCTCAAAAAAAAAAAAAGCTGTCATCATTGGGAAGCTGAGGCAGGAGGATTTCAAGTTTGAGGCCAGCTTGGGCTAAGAGTTCCAGGCTAATCCAGGATGTAAAACAAAACCTTATTTCCAAAAACCAAAGCAAGCCCCTTAGCCAGAAGCCTTCACATTCCGCCTCTTGGGTAAATGGCCACCCCTAAAGATTCTGGAATTTTCCTGGTCTTTGAACAGGCTCTGGGCTCACTGCTTCATGTCTTCCCTCTTTCCAGTTCCTCTGCTTGGACTCTTGTCCTGATTTGCTTCAGGATCTCCTATGCTTCCTTCAGGATCCAGAAAGACAAAGCAGCACTTACTCACACACTGGGGCTCAGGGCACCTCAGCAGACAACAGAGTTCAGCCAGCCTGGAGGAGGGAGAGATTATCAGAGGACCCGGAATACAGGAAGACCCTGAGGAGATGGCTAGGAGGAAGGGCTTGGCAGAGAAGGAAGGTGATGTGTCAGGATAAACAGAAAATGGCAATTAAGGAACAATGAGAGGTCTGGAGATGGGTCAGTGGCAAAGAGCTTGCTATACAACTGTAGGGATCACAGTTTGGAATTCTAGAATGTACATAAAAGCCCAGCACACCTGTAACCCCAGTGCTGGAGGGCAGAGATCCCGAGGAATGCGGGAGCTCTCTAATCAACTGGTTTAATCAAAATGGCAAGATCTGGGTTTGGTGAGATACCCTGTCTCAGAAGACAAGGTATGATGGCGGCTGCCTTTAACCCCTGTACTCAGGCAGAGACAGGCTGATCTACAGCACTCGTTTCAGGCCAGCCAGGGCTACACAGTAAGACCCTGTCTCAAAAAAAAAAGTTAAATTAAGGTGGAGAGTGTCAACCTTTGGCCTCCATGTACATGTGCACACATGAATGTATACTCACGGTGGCAATTTAAATGAGAATGCCCCCCATGGGCTCATATATTTGAATGATTGGTCCACATTTAGTGGAACTGTTTCAGAAGGATTAGGAGGTGTGGCCTTTTGGGAGGAGGTGTGTGTGTCACTGGGGGCAGGTTTTGAGGTTTCAAAAACCTGTGCCATTCCCAGTTAACTCTACCTAACGCCTGTAGATTATGTTGTAAACTCTCAGCTACTGCTCCAGTGTCATGCTTACCTGCTGCTCCCTGCGTGATGATCATGGACTCTTAACCCTTTGAAACCACAAGTCACAATAAACATTTCCTCTTATAAGTAGCTTTGGTCATGGTGTCTTCACAGCAATAGGAAAGTAACTAAGACACATGTGTGTGCATGCACACACAAACAAATATTCCTCCTCCTCCTCTCTGGTCCTCGCTGAAAATCTGTCCCCAAGTAGGTTTGTATGTATGGGTCCTAGAGAGGATGGACCTTGTCTTTCTATAGCTCCCTCTACAGCCACTTCACCCCTAGTGCCCTCACCATGCCCAAATCTCAGCCTTGAAGAAGCCAGGTTACCTGATATCTTGGTTGTCACTGAAAGAAACAATTTAAATGAAGGAAGACAGTATCAATCACTTGGCTGCACACACTTCTGTGCCTCTGGTGAAACTGTCTTGGCAGAGAGGGCATGATAAGCAAGGATGCTCACTAAGAAAAGGCCACACAGGGGCTGGAAAGATGGCTTAGAGGTTAAGAGCACTGACTGCTCTTCCAGAGGTCTTGAGTTCAATTCCCAGCAACCACACGGAGGCTGACAACCATCTTCAATTCAATTTGGTGTACATGTAATAAATAAATAAATCTTTAAAAAAAAGGCCACACAAGCACATCCTTCAAAGCACCCAATGAAGCACCTTGCTCCAACCAAGCTCCACTTTCTAGTATCCCATTTTTTAAATTTATTTTATTTTGTGTGCATTGGTGTTCTGCCTGCATGTATGTCTACCTGAGGGTATCAGATGTTGGAGTTACAGACAGCTGTGAGTGCTTGGAATTGAACCCTGATCCTCTGGAAGAGCAGTCAGTGCTCTTAACCTCTGAGCCATCTCTCCAGTTCCTCTGGTATCCCAATTTTAAAATTAGTACTTTCCTGATCCAATTGCTTCTTATTGGTGTCCACTAAGACTTCAATACCTAACAACATCCAGAGACACATCTGCTAAGATGATGTGCACCCTTGGACAAGATGATGCCTTCTTTTTTTAAGATTTATTTCGTGTGTGTGTGTGTGTGTGTGTGTGTGTGTGTGTGTGTGTGTGTGTGTGTGTGTGTCTGCCTGTCTGTGTGTATGTGTTTGTGTGTGCTCACAAAGGCCAGAAGAGAACATCAGATCCCTCAGGGCTGGAGTTACAGGCATGTGTAACTATGATCTAGTACCTGAGTTCTGGGGTCTGAACTCTGGTCCTCATAATTGTATAGCAAGTCCTTTTAATTACTGAGCCATCACTCCAGCCCACAGAGTGGTGACTTCTTGGAACCAGATTGGTCATGGTAGAACCAGGCCAGGAAGGTGGACTCTACCCAAGGTTTTGTCTCACCACCATCTCCTCTTATGAGCTTTCATTTCCTTTCTGGGAAAGTAGAGCTATTACATCTGAAGTAATGACTGGCCCTCCACCCTTGAGAGGCTCAGTCTTAAGACAAACTTCAAAATGTAGATTGTAGCCCCATTTGTAAGTCACGATCAGCAACATTTTTTCATTATTATTTTATTTGAATGGGTTTTGTCTGCATACATGTACATGTGCCTAGTGTCCACAGAAGCCTGAAGAGGGTGTTGAATCTCCTGAAACTGAAGTTACAGACAGTTGTGAGCAGCCAGGGCTTTTCATCACCGAGCCACTTTCCTAGGCCTGGTCTTGTGCACGCTTGGAAGCTCTTCACCACTGCTCTGCCCTTAAGACTTCAGCATTTCCTCTAAATGAAGTAGTTTAGGATGCACTTATCACATATGGCGGTAAAGAATACTCTTTGAGCCTCCAAAACAATACAGAGAAACCCTGTCTCGTAAAAAAAAAAAAAAAAAAAGAGTACTCTTTGAAGCTTTTTCTTGGGGGTTTTTTATTATGTTTATTTATTATGTGTGTGCTTACCACATGTACATGGGTGCCATTGAGCATGTGCAGACATCAGAAGATGGAGATCAAACTCAGGTTCCTGGGCTTAGTAGCAAGCACCTTTACCTGTTGAGCCTCCTTTTGAATTTACAAAGAGAAAAACACACACATATACACATCTACCAGATCATAATGTACAACACTACTTTTTTTTTTGGTTTTTACGAGACAGGGTTTCTCAGTATTGTTTTCGAGGCTGTCGGTCCTGCCCAGCCTCGAACTCACAGAGAGCAGCCTGCCTCTGCTTCCCGAGTGCTGGGATTAAAGGCGTGCACCACCACCACCCGGCTACAACACTACTTTTAATGGCAAATATGGTACAAGAAGTTTGAAAAGCCCTTTGATATGGAGTTACTGAAAAGATTACATGGGGGGGGTTCATAGGTGACTTCTCTAAGTGCCCCACACTGGGTGACTCAGAATAACAGGTTGATTGTTCGTGGTTCCGGAGGTCAGAAGTCTAAAGTCAAGGTGTTGGCATATTTGGCACAGTCCTTTAGGATGGTCCCTGGGAATACTGATGGAGACACGAAAGCTCCTGCAACCAGAGCTCTGGTTAGGGTGGTCCAGGGGCAGAGTACCTAACCAATAAGACCCAGTGAGGAATAGTCACCCAGCACAACGCTGCACCACCAGTGCTGGAGACGTGGCCAAGAGCACTGGGTGGTCCCTTCAGAGGATCTGGGTTCCAGAGGACCAGTGGGCTCATTGGTCACCAAGCAAGCTAACTTTGGGTAGAAACTGTGTCTTTAGACTGTTGTTGCTGCTCTAGCTGGGGTGAATAGAAAAAGTCTCCCCAGAGAAAGTTAGGCAACACTGAATAACACACTAAACAGTCTAAGACGACCCCCATCTCCAAACAAACCAATGGCAAGAAGAAAAACATCAGATTTTTCAAACCCCTTGTTTGGTTAACAAGTTTCCAGATGCCAGGCATGGTAGCACGTACCTTTAATCCCAGAATCTGGGAGGCAGAGAGGCAG